CCAAACAGCGAATTGTTTCTCCCAAATGAAAGGAAGGACATCATTACTTCCACTGCCTGTTGGGCAGCAATGGCTGCGCTGCTAGTCGGTCTGTCTTTCACAATGGGACCTGTCCAAGTGCTTAAGCTCTACGGCGTTCCATACTGGGTAGGTTCCATTTCTTTATGCTTGTGCTTCTGTATTGTTGGCATAAAACGAAAGTATCTTCCGAGTCTTCTCTTATCTTCTCTCATCTTAAAATTGTTTCATTGAATTTGCTTTCAAATGCAGATGTTTGTCTTGTGGTTGGACTTAGTGACTTACTTGCATCACCATGGCCACGAGGACAAGCTTCCATGGTATCGTGGGAAGGTAGAGTGTTCGATTTCATCAACAATCCGAGCAATGCAACTGCTTTTGCACTTCCTAAAATGTACGTGGCTAATCTTTGGTTTCTTTATCTATCAAACAGGAATGGAGTTATCTAAGAGGAGGATTGACAACCATTGATCGCGACTACGGATGGATCAACAACATCCATCATGATATCGGAACTCATGTCATACATCATCTCTTCCCTCAAATCCCACATTACAACTTAATAGAAGCAGTGAGTAGCACTTCAACCTAGACTCTTCGGCCGAAAATCAATTCAATTTGGTACCCCATTCTGATTCTCAATTCCTTTCGTTTGTTTGTTTCAGACGGAGGCAGCTAAGCCTGTGCTTGGGAAGTACTACAGAGAACCGAAAAAATCAGGGCCTCTCCCACTTCACCTACTGGGAGTCCTTGTAAGAAGCTTTAAACGCGATCATTACGTGAGTGACACTGGGGATGTTGTATATTATCAAACCGATAAGGAACTTGCCGGGTCAGCGGTATCAGAATGAAGATGTGAAGTTTTGAGGTACGACGACTGAAGCGTTACAGCGTACCAAAGGATTCAATTTGCTTTAACCCCCGGACAGTTTCCCAGCTCTGCATAACTAGTCTGGCTTTAGCACCCATTCTTTCTTCACATACTTTGTATTAAGGTAGTTGTGAAATAAAAGAAGAAAAAATCTGTCCTCTTTCCTGCTAGAAATCTCTCTCTCCATCTCAATGTCTTTCCCCGACACACACTGGCACTGCAGGCAAAAAGCAATAGCCACGGAAAAATTTAGTTAAGCGCTTTAGTGACGGTTTTCTGTTGCAAAGAAAAGGAAGAAGATAATAAGGAAAATTGATCAAAATGGTTTAAAAACTTTGAGTTTTAACGATAAAAACAAAATAAAAGGTAAAATGAATAGTATCAGGATTGATTTTTTAGTGTAAAAATGTGATTTTTCGTTAAAGTGAACAGTACAGTGGGTTTTTCGTTAAAACTCCCAAGATAATATGGATTTTGAGAATGTTTACTGCTTTTGAGCAAGAAATTTTTAATATTTCTATGATGTCATCTCAGAAAACTTACGTAAAAAATGTACCATTCATTAAGAATACAATAATAATAAAGCTTTTTCTCATTAAATGAGATTAGCTATATGAATCTTAGAATGTTATTGCGTTTGATTATGTGCCACGTCTTTTGTTAAACTCTAAATCTTTTCTTAGAGCACATTCATTAAGTATAAATAAATAAGTAAATAAATAATATTATTTTAGCCATACCTTTAAGCAATGTCCTCTTTAAAACTAAAAAATTAATCTGGCCCCAACTTTTGCTTTATAAGTTTTACTGTATAATTCCACTTTACAAAAAATTCTGCCCTACCATTTTTTTTTTAAACAAATTTGCCTACCAAATCTTTGATTCCGCGTATCTTGACAGCGGCAAATACCGCCGCTTGTTTTATTGGAGACAAGTCAAAGTCCAAATAATTGACAATTTGCCAGTCTATGGGCAAAAGTGGGAAGACGGTAAAACAAAATTTTCCAATAATGTGTACGTTCTGTGGTTCAATAGACGATATGTATGCAGTGTCATGTAAAGCAAATAAAACATATTATTTATAAAGTTCGGTAAATACATCAATGTTTTTTGACAGCATTAGTGGTTTTTTTTTTTTTTTAAGGAAAACTAATGCAAATAGTTTGAAAACTTCGAGTTTTAACAAGAATGATAAAATAAAAGATAAAATAAATAGTATCATGTTTCACTTTTTAATGTAAAAATGTAATTTTCGTTAAAATGAACGTTACTGCAGACTTTTCGTTAAAACTCGTTTTTTTTTTAATGAACACATATCCACTTCGGAGGAGCCCATCTTGGCTCAGAGGGGCGGATGCCCCCCACTCAATTTTTTTGGTGTGAAAAAAAAATGTACACTTTTAGTTATTTGTGATATTAGTATTAACTCTTTCATGTGCTACTTCCATCGTTGAAATAACATTTTCAGCCATGAAATTTATGCAGATGGATTGTGAAATTGTATGGAAGATTAATGGATGAATAATAACTTGGTTATTTTTATAAAGAGAAAGATATTTGATGGTATTGGTAATGAGGTTGTCATGTAACGTCTTCAAAACATAAAAACACATCGATGGATGTTATAATAATTTGTATTGAAAAACCTTATAGATTAATAAATAAGTGTCCTTTTTTAATACATTCTTGAACTTTTTAATCTCTAACTTTGTCCCTGCTCAACCTTATTTGTTTGGGTAAATTACATTTTACCACCTCAGGATTTGAGTTATATTGCAACCTTATATAATATCTTCTAAAAGTTTTACTTTCATGCCTCACGTACTATTTTATTTCAATATAGGGTTAATCTTAGTTTACTACATTGAAGTTTCTTGGTTTTCAACATTTCATACATCAAGTTTTTTTCATCCCAGTTTGGTACCTCCAGTCATAATTCTGAGACACTTTTATACATTCGTTAAGTTTTCCGTCAGAACCTCAGTTCAATGATGACGTAGCGCCTAGGTGGACAATGATTGGATGCCACGTGTCAATTTGGGCCCACGTGGAAATTTAAAAAAAAAAAAAAAAAATCTAAAACTCTTTCATCACCTTCCCTGATTTGAAACCCTAACTCCTTACCATCTTCCCAAAGTCATCTCAGCCAATTTCCTTATCGCCAAAGACAAAAAATTTGGCTTTATCCCATTTGCTAGATTTTCAAGAAAAGCTGCATTTGAGTTTTGAAAAATGGTGCCATTTTTGGAGCTGGAACCTGCGTCAAGACCCAATGCGTTCCAAGGTTCTCTAAGATCTCCAACCTCCTTGATCTTCGCGGCTGCCACCCCCTCCCCCACCGCCGCTGCTTCTCCAGAACCCCGCCAAAACCCACTTCCTCTATCCCAATAAATCTGTTTCCTCCATTGCTTCCGGACTCCAATGTCTTGTGGGTCAAATATTTCGTGTTGCTGGATAGGGCTTTTGGAGAGTCTTGGTGAGGGTTTTGGTGTCTCGAGCAAAGGCGTCGGAGATCCAGGAGTAGGCGAAGGTGTTGGGCCGGAAAGCCAACGCCATCATGCTCGCCATGTTGTCCGACGACGCCATTAAAGCAACTCAAGCAACTCAAAAATTTTAATTTTTCTACTTGAAAATTTGGGAAATTGGGTGGTTGTAAAATCAATTGGATTTGGGGAAATGGGATTTCCGTGTGGGATGAGAGGGGAGATGTTATTCTTGGTAGCCGTTGAGAGTCTGCGACGTTGACAAGACGGAATGGAAGAAGGTGGTGTTGTTGATTTGGATGTTGGTGGAGGAGAGGAAGAGATCGAAGGGTTCGTAGGAGGAGGTGAGGTGATTCTTGGGGTTTTTGGAGAAGACTTCGAGAGGGTGAGGCTGAAGAGAGAGAATTATTTTTATTTTTTTTTAATTTCCACGTGAGCCCATTAACACGTGACTTCATTTATTGTCTAATACCATATGATCATTTAAATGGGATCTGACAGAAAACTTAATAGATGCAAAAAAAATGTTCTAAAATTATGACTTTAGGTACCAAATTGGGACGAAAAAAACTTGATATATGAAATATTGAAAACCAAGAAACTTCAACTGAGATTAACTCTTTAATATAATACATCCATTATATTTTTCATCTATTGATCTGTTAAGAACTAACATAACTGTTAAATTTTTATCACGTAGCCAAAAATAATTTTTTTATACATTTAAAATATTACAATAATTTATCCTATTAATAAAAAATAAAAAGAAACCCAGAAACCCATTTCCCCCGACCCACTTCCCTCTCCTCCCCTCTCTTCACCTCCCCTCCCATCCAAAAAACCCACCCCCACCTTTCCCGCAACACCCACCCCCACCTTTCCCGCAACCACCCCCCCGGGAAACGTAACCAATAACACAAACAAATCAATCGCACCACTACCCAGATCACAAAGATGGAAACTTTCTCAGATTCCCAGCATCAAGAAGTAGAGGAAAGATGCGCTTTCCCTCTGTGATCTCCCGCTGCACGACGACAATGGCGAATCGGAAGAGAACCCCATAATCTCCGCTTCTTATTCTTCCGCCCCGGACGACGTTTTTGAATTTCGGGTCGACCCGATCCGGAGATACATCCCCATGGACGTCTTTTTTTGTTGGGTGGGGGGTTGTGGGGGAGGTGGGGGTAGCTTCCAAGGACTCTTTCCCTCTCTTTTCTCGGCAAAATGGTGGCTCGGGTGGGAAGGGGTGGGTGATGGGGGATGGGAGAAGGGGGTGCTCGGGTGGAGAAGACGAATGGGTGGTGGAGGGGTGCTCGGGAGGAAGGGATGGAGGGTGGAGCCGTGGAGGGGATGGAGGGGTGTCGGGTGGCGAAGACAAGGGGGTTCTGGGTTTTTTGTTTTTTTATTAAATTAATTTTTTAATATTTTAAATTTTTTATTAAGGATTTAGTTACGTGGCATAAATGTGACAGTCACGTCAGCACAAATAGAGACACCATATTTACCACATTATCACTTAATGATTAATTTATTTAACGGTTGTATGAAATTGAAATAAAATGATGAGTAAATGTATGAAATTGAAATGTTTTAAAGATGTTGTAAGACATTAAAATTGATTCCAAATCTGAGAAGATAAAATGTAATTTATCTTATTTATTTTTAATGAGTAAGATACTAGTATGTTACAGACACATCCTTTGGTGATTAAATCGGGTGAAAAACACCGGCTTCTCAAACATTATTGCCAAATCAATATTTTTGAACCATGAAATTTTTTTGTGTTCTCTCGTAATTTCATTTGCTTTATTTAAACTTTTGCACAACGAACATTACAGAGGGCCCAAAACGGTGACTTTACACACGCTCTCATTCAGTAGTTTACTGAATGAACTGCATTCATGAAGGAAGATATTCGCAACTGATCCTTCTGGATGCCGCAGGCGCCACAAATGCCGCTACTCACATCAATTCCTTGAGGTTTGAGGATAGAAAGAGCCTCACCAGCATTCTCAGGCTTTATTCCTCCTGCCAAGAGCCACCCGTGTTTGCTTCTAATGTTCGGTAGCTTAAACCGCGTCCAATCAAATCCTTTACCGCTGCAGCAATTTCAGAGTGAAGTGAATCATAACAATCTCATGTATTCTATGCATATGTGAGATTACGGACTTTGTGGAACTTTAAAACACTTTACAATGGTCTTCACGTGCTAATTTTGCTGAATAAATTGAAGGAAAAACGCCATTGTCTTTCTAATGAAGTTGTTAGTAAACTACAGGGGTTAAATCTTTAGCAAACTGAACATCGTCCAAACTATAGGGATCACGATCAAGGTTTAGGCTACATTTAAACTGTCGTTCAGACAATGGCTAATGCGAATGGTCATGCATACAAGATGATGTTTAAGAACGAGATGAAGAAGAAAAAGGAATTTCGTTACCTGCCACCCTTTGCACTATCCACGAGAATCCAATCAACTAGAGAACATTGTTCAGCGGAAATCTGGTTTAAAAGACTTCCATCTTCATTAGCATGAAGAACATAGATTATACGGTGCCCTCCAACTAATGCAGGAAAGGCCGCTCGGGAGCCATCTCCATGAAGCTGCAAAACGTCAAAGTATTACAATTCTAAGCATTTTGTTACGTAATATGCAATGTGCAAGCTAAATAAGGCACGAAAATCTATATACCTGAACAAATTCAAGGTCGGATGCATCCTTGGCTCTTGATATTGTCTCTGCATCATCATCCACAAATACCCCAACAGGCTGCGCCCCATACTCTCTTGCAACTATTGAAATCTCCTTTGCAACAGAAAGTGAAACAGAGCGTTTAGAGTTGGGCCAAATAATCATCCCAATGAAGTCAGCACCGGCTTCTGCTGCCAAAGCTGCATCTCTAGCAGAGGTAATGCCACACATCTTAACTAAAGGCCTGTTCTTTTTGTGTTCCTCGTGCTTCGAGGTTACATCTTCTGCCTTGATAGCTCTGCAAGTAATAACTTTCTTGCTACATAACTTCGCATTTGAAAAGCACAACGGGGCATGCTTTAAACCTACAAACACATAATGACACCGAGAAATGATGTAATCGTGTATAAAGGAACGATCTAGATTACGACCAAGATGATAAATTTTAGGAGGAATACCAGGAATTTGCCTTGTATGACAGATTCCGACTACTTCGGGCTGAATGTGGGTCCCAGTAGTTAATCCTGAAAACAAAGAAAATGATAGTAAAACTCAAAAATCAAAATTCCAATTCCAAGATTTTCCCATTACACATAACATATGAAATTAGACAATTGAAATGCTGCTGGTACCAAATAAATGATCTTTTAAATCCAAATTCCTTCAACCAAAAGGCAAAACATACAAACATACTAATCACATTCACAAAAGCATTTCTCTGGGGCAATTTGTCGAACAGTTTCAAGGCACTTCAACGAAGCAGATACGCAATTACAAAGAACGAACCTGTAAGCATGTTGATCCCACCAATGCCGAAGAAATGTACAGAGAAACGTTGAGACGGAGCGAAACGAACTCCAATCGGATTGCGCAAAATTTCGAAAAAGCAAATTGGGTTGCGCAGGGCGCGAGGATGGCGAGGCAATACCACAGCGCTTTAAATCGTTTTAATGGGGTTGGGTTGGTAAAACCCAAATTAGGAAATACGTTAAGTGTGGGCCGTGTGGCCAAGACTTTGGTCCAAAGCTAGTTTCCTCGTCCAAAACAACAAGGACTGCCATTTTTTTAATTTTTTTATTTCCCCTAACAAAAGATATTATTTACATTAGGGTAGAGAGTGTGTTAAACCTTACAAGAAACTAGCAATAAGGTGGTTTAAATTCGCCTTTGACGAGAATCGAACCTAAGAACTCTTAATACCACTACAACGTAGTACTAAGTGGCCAAGACTTGCAATTTTTAAACAAAAACTATTCTTTTCCATTTTTGGTCGGCCTAATGTTTCCATTTTTTACTGAAGTTTGGCCTATTATTCAAGAAATTTGCCCAGAAGTTGTCGCGTATATGAGTTAGGATAGTTGGTTAAGTAGTACGTTTTTTTTACTAGTTTTTCTTTTTGGGTTTGAAAAGATAAATACATTAACCCGACAAAGGAAGGCAAAATAACCCAAATACATTGGGGAGAAACAAATACATAAAAGTCCAGCCCAATTAAATAAACTAAAACGGAAACCCAAATCCTTAATATCCAACCGCAGAAAGCAGCGTCCGCCGCCGTTACCGCCACAAAAGTCTTATCAGTAGCTACTGAAGTAGTAACACTAGAAAAAACGACCGAGTGGTGAAGATGAACAAGACATCGCAACACAAAAGTACCAAACCCGCAATAAGAAGCACACCACATCCAGATTTCTTCACCAAAGACGTAGAACCAAAAGATAGTCATCAAATCCAACTCCCATTCACGAATCCTAGCAAATACATACAAACATAGTAACACATGGATAAAAGGTGAGGCTAAGGGGGTATGTAAAATACCCTTACTTTGGCCGAAGCCGTAGTATACTTGGCCTCAATGGAAATTCGACAAGTTGTTTGGGGGGGGGGGGGAAGTGAGGGAGGGAAATAAAGCTAGCAAGCATATTCGGCCGGAGTTTGCAAATTAGAGCAAATGATGGGGTGGGGATGGTTTATGGAAAGGGAGGCAGAGGGGAAAAGTGAGAGGAGATGGAGTTTTGGGTTTGGAAAAGAACGGCTAGAGGAGAGGGAGGGGTGGAGAGGAGGGACATGAATCCAAAAGTGAGACAAACTCACATGAAAATTTGAGATAAAGCTCAAGGAAACTGGGAAAAATCTAAGGGGAAAATTGAAAAAGAGAGAAGAGGATTAGGAGAAAGAGGGAAAGAAGAGAACAAGAATCTTGGACAAGGATAGCCACCGGCACCCAAGCCAAAGGCTGGGACTGGTGACAAAGGAGTTTGCAAGGTTGAGAAACCAGAGAGAGAGTCTCACGCGTTTTTTGCTGCTAGTACTTTTTTAAAAAAAAAAAAAAAAAATTCTATTAACATCTTTACTAGTTTTTTTTTATTAAGATAATTTGTTAAACATCATAGAATATTTATTTAAGAATTTTGGCAAAAAGTTGTCCTTGTGGAGGGAAGTGAAGTCATGATATCGCAGATATGAGTTAGGCCAACTGATTAAGTAGTACGTTCACTTCACTAGTTTTTGTAAGGCTAAACCTATCCCTCCTCCTTAATGTAAAAAATATCGTTGATTAAAAAAAAAACATTATAGAATAGTAATAGGATAAGAATTTATCCAAAACTCAAATGTGAATATTAAGAACTAAAATTGCATCTTAATTAAATGGCATGTTGTCTGATTAACATCACACAACTTGAAACAAAATGTCTTACAAATACCAGCGCAACCAATTATAAAATACAAACAAGACATCAAGCTAGGTGAAGTCCGCTGATCACGTGGGTCTCGGTGGAAAACTTTCCCACGAGAAAACTTCGAGACAAGAAAAAAAGAAAGTGCCACAAATGCTTGAAGTTGAATATGACTCACCTTGTGCATCAACCTCCACCAACTTCATCATCCAAAGTCAATTTACCTTCAACATTAATCTCCTAAGACCATCTCCAACCCTTAATCTAAAACTTAAAAGTTTTAATCCAAAAAATTTAGGTTTTAATCCAGAAATAGCTTTTCTACTCCAAACCTTCTGGCCTAAAATGTTAGCCTCAGATTATTAAAGAATGAATTTAGATTAATTTTTTTTCTTAAAGTAATTTTTTTTAAATAAAAAATTATGTAGACTATCCTAATTTAATTTTATGAACATTTTAACCTAAAAATATTTAGATTTTGACAAATACTGAAAAATCACTAACCGACACCATGAAACTCATTAAACACTATGAAAAAATATGAAACAAATGAAAGATTTTTTTTTAATTACTTTAGCTGTTAGATTTAAATTTGGACCGTTAAATTATTATTTTTACTGTTGAATTTCATCAAATTAGATCTTAACCGTTGGATTCAATGTATTTATAAATATAAAACTAAATAGAATATACATATATGATGGGTCAGCCCCACTAATCATGTGCTAAATTTGGCTTCCATTTGAATTTTAGATTTTAGGCCACATTTTAGCATTGGGTTGGGTTAAGTTTTGGGGGAGAATAAAAGTGAAAATTTGAGTTTTAATCCAAAGTTAGAGAAGATCTAAACCAGAATAAAGAAAGAAAAACAATTTTTGAATGGCTCATTCTTTTTCTTGAACTCCTTTTTTGTAGAATAAAAAAATAAAGGTGCGGAAATCATTTCTTTAAAAATATAGTAAGACAAGAAGAAAGTGGGTGTGTCATCCTCGTCACTAATCACCTATATATAAAAGGGCAAAGTTGGAGGAAGCTTCCTTCATGGGGACTTTTGTCACTTTAATTATATATATTTGTTGGATTGAGAAAAAATAGTCATGGGCGGCTGGATGGACCACCAACCCAAAAGCTGCCCAAAAGTCAAAAGCCCTGGGCCCCACACGCCTTTGGCTTCTAAATTCCCTTTAACTTAACAATTTTGTATAAGCAAAACAAGGGCGGAACGCTGCGTTTTTCTATCCTTACTTGCTGGCACTCAAACGCTCCAGCAAGGCGGCGTGCTGTACGCCTCCATGAACTGACTGCCCAACTTCCATTGTAGATAATTAGATATAATAAATGTCCAAACCCCATATTGTTTTTCATCAGCCTTACATCTACACTTTCATATGTTATTGTCGCATTCTGAAACAATTATACAATATCATGTATTTTAATTTTTACACATAATAGTATCTCGTTGTTTCGAAATGCCAAAGTGGCATATTATAGAACGTAGTGAAATCTCTTTCTAGTAGCATGGGATGTTATTGGGTGCAGCCGGTCATGCCAATTTGTATGTTTGTCCAAGACAAAAGATGACCCTCGGCGCTCACGCCCCATAATGGCTCATTTTGGTGGACTTGAATGTAGCGGGTTCTCTTTACATGTATGTATCTTGAACAATCTTATGTGACATAGATATCGTGTTTAAAAATTCCTCTAGTATTAAGTCCCATTATTGAGAGATGCACATGAGTGGATACATGCAGTGGCATGCAAGACTTCTCGTATATGAGTGGATATATGCCGTGTCATACAAGATCTCACGTATGAGTGGATATATGCAGAGACACATGAGTGGCTTGAAATGCAATGTTTTAATAATTTGTGCATTACTTAGAAGTTTTGCCTTCTCACTGAATGCTATGTGACAAGAGATGCATACGTACGAGCATACACATGGTGACCCACATTATATGCTTGCAATGTCATGTATCCAACGTGTGTCTCAAATGGAATTCGAACTAATAAAGGATTGAGATTCACTTTGAATCACTGTGTCTGGAGTATATAGACCAAAATATCCAGACCGTTCAAGAGAGAGATTCGATCCATTTAAGTTTATGATGCTTTGTGAAATGGACTAATATAGAGCGTACAATTGAAATTGAATGGTCCAAATCTCTAGTCCGCATGCTCCGGCTACAGAGATCCAAAGTGGATCTTGATCCCCTAGTAAAAGTTGTTGCTGCCTTCTAAATCTCTAATGTAAAACATCCATACAAAGCAAGACTGAAGAATAAGACATGGAAATATCATTACATTACAACACAGAAACACTTTATTTTCCAAATGAGTTGCAAAACTTGATCAGATTGAATAAAAATACATTCCTGCCACTGATGCAATTATCATCTCTGTGGATAACCAGAAATTAGCATCTCCCAATGGAGAGGGAAAATAAATAAATAAATAAATACAATATTAATGAAAAAAATATAGCAAGGCATTCTGCTCCTATCTAATTTCTCCAAATTCTACAGCCCAAACTTGATATCCTTTCTCCTGCCCAGAATTTAAGGGCCTTAGCTTCCCCACCTTTGCTTAGATTACAAGGAACTATAAATCTTATCGGAAGACTAATATAAAACTTCGACGTATCGATTTCTTCGGCGGATGCTCGGAGCACAGGATCGTTGCTTAAGCCCTCTGCTCTTGTTCTATGTACATCTGCTCGGCCCATGACGGAAGCATTTCGTGAGCCCCATTGTTGAGGCGACGATACCTTTGCTTGTTGTCTGCACCATACAGCTCGGACCTCTCAGAAGAAACGTCTTTAACCAGGGAATTGACCCAAGAGACATCCGGCTCGTCAACTGCCGATGGCTTAAAGCCAGGTGGTGTTCCGGCATTGTTGCTTCGGAACCCGAATGAAGCAGACTTCTTCAGCTTGTTCAGCTCATCTCCTTGCATTCCCCAATCCAATTTCCCACCAGGTGAGCCCCAATCTGAAGACTGCCTCATGGTGGAAGAATTAACTGGGGCATTCAGCCCGGAAAGATGGTTCATTGCTCCGCGGTCAATGAAACTCTGGCTCCGCTGTTGTGCAAATGCAGCAGACCTGGAATTCATAACGGCTGCTGCAAGAGCACTGGGTGAGTCAAGCCCGAACGATGAGGGCTTCCTCACCGGAGAGGATGACAAGTTGGTTGGGTAACTCGAACGAAGCTGGTTCATGTTTTGGCGATGGGTTGGTGCTGAAGGCTTTTGAGAGTGTCCCTGCAATTGAGACAACAAAGAAGGATCGACGGATCCAAAAGCATCCTCAAGGTTAGTTGGCTTCAATTCTCCAAGCCTGCTGAAGGACGGTGAGGAGGAGAGACGAGATATCTCATCCCACAGCTGCTGCTGTTGGCTTGAATGACTATCTAGTCCTAGCAATTCCATCTCCAACTCCAAATCTCGGGCACTACACGCGCTCTTTAGCCTGCTACCGGGAAGCTGCAAGGTAGGCGGGGTGAGGTTAACTTTGTTCTGCCACAAACCTCCATTTTTAGGAGACGAAGCGGCTGCCAGTGGAGACATGGGCGGTGTTGATGTAATTGGCATAGACATAGCTGATGAACCTAGAGCTAACGGGCTCAAGGTTGCCATATCTGCAGCACTGACTGACATGGACCTTGGTGAAGGCATGGCTGAACCCGTAGAAGCATACACCGGGCGTAGTTCTTCAGGTCTGTGAGCAAAGAAGCACACTTTCCTTGTGCAACCGGTTTCATCTTTGCAAAGGCGGGTTCGATATTGAGCAGGATGAAGCCAGGACTCAAAGACACCATGAGCATACTCGCAAGCATCTCCCTTCTGGCACGATCCTTTGCGGAACTCGGGGCAGGGAACACAGCTGTATGGGTACTTTTTTGGGTCTCTCCTCCTTGCGTTTTCGCCTGGATGAACAAAAGGGCACTCTGTCCAGTCATGAGAGTAGGCCCTCGAGCACGGCTTCACCTTAAAAGTGAACATTCTGAACTCATCTGTACCATATATCCCATTGTTGATATCAGGCAATGAAATATCAATAGGATATTCTTTCTTATCACTTCCCTCCTTCGGCATCTGGGGGCTCGAAACCTTCTGTTGGTCTCCCTCTTCGATAGCAATCTGATCGCTTTCCATAACCGACTTATCACCTCTCAACAGCATCTCCATGGCCTTCCTTCTTGAGCTGCAGGGCGACTTCAAAGCCGGGGCAATCAAGTCAACGGGCATGTTTCCGTAGGCATTGACGCAATTAGCATCAGCGGAAGCATCAAGCAAGAGCTTGACAACCTCAAGCGAAGCAGTGGAACCGCCAGCGGCGGCACAGTGAAGGGCAGTGACCCTATCTGAACCGCAGGACCTGTTGACATCAACCATGCCAGACTCAATTATATACTTCAAAACCTTAGTGCTACCAAACATGGCAGCAATCATAAGCGGCGTCCTCTCTTCGAACCCCATCTGCTTTGACCCGATTCTTCTTCCATACCAAAAGCCAGCCTCGTCAACATGGAAACCCTTCTCTTCTACTTCAGTCCTGAAAGCATCGAGATTGTCCGAGGCGGACAATTCGACCAAAACCGATTTCTGCTTCTGGAATTCGCTTTCCATGATAAAATTTGAGGGGCTGAGTTTATCTTTGGAACCCTTGCACATCTCCAAAGTCCTGCATCATTGTAACAGCAAAAGTTCAATATACCACTCAAAATCAATAACTGATAGCGGCTTTAAATAAGCTGCTTATATGTAAAGTTGTTCACATCATCCAATAATTTTTTTTTTTTTTTTTAAAAAAGCACTTCCGCAGCTGGATAGTTGTTGAATCTAAGATTTTCCACAACATGAGAAACAGAAAAATTCAACCCACCTCCTCAGAAACAAACCCAAAAGCCAAATTTTAAAAACTATATTGTTGGTTTTTCCTATTGAGTTCCAGAAATATTCATAAAACTTCACAAATCCCAATAATTTTCTCCTTAAATATTGAATTGTAAGCTAAAAGAACCCAGAAATCAGTGCAGACAGACAACCCCAGATCCAAAATATAAAACTTCCACCCAAACAACTCAAAACCCAAAATTATTTCACAAAACCCAATTGAAATCACAAGAAATTGTACCAAAAAACTCAAATCCAAATAGAAAGATTCAAACTTTAAGTCCTAAAAAACTCAAACAATCAAACCCACAAAGCTTTTCCTCACCTTTAAAGTTTTAAGCACTCAACAAATCTTCAGAGACAGAGAGTGAGGGATAGTTAGAGGAGGATAATTTGTGTTCTTGTTGTTAGAGAGAGAAAAATTGCTGAGGAACCTCAAGTGAGAGTAGCTTGGACGGGAGCTATGAGGAAACGGAAGGCTTTGGGGATTTATATTGCCATTGGCTGAGTGTCTCACAGGAAGGAGGGAGGAAAGCGTGACTTTTCTTCTGCTTTGCTTCGTGAGTGTGTGGTATTTGGTCAAAGTCAAAGCTTCAAAGCGAGGGCCACTTCTTTATGACTATCCTATTAGAGTTGAGGAAGGGTTCTCGGGTTTAAATGAAATTAATTGAAATTGGGATCAAATTCAGGTTAAATGCGGAGAGGGTGGACCGACTCCCTCTTCGATTCCACCTGCACCAACACCTCCTTTAGGATTTTGCTGAACTAAATCCCCTTCAAGTCCAAAGTGGAGTTGTCCTTCACGTGTGGTTGGGTTTCATGGTTTTCTTAATCTAGTTCGCACTTGTGCACGTACATACAATCTCCCACTCTCTTTTTTAGTGTGTTTTTGGTTAGGGAGAATATCACGTTCAAAAAGTAATGTGTTAATTTTTGTACCACCTATATTGGAGGAGGAGGAGAAAGATTCGAAATTTGATGTGCACATGATTAGTTGATCTAGCAATACACATATTGGTGGTTTGAAGATGTCTTACGTGCGATTATCACATGGTGATAGTGTAAGTTTCACACTGAGAAATTAAAAGCACATTGTATGTGCATGCTTATAAAGAATTAGGTTACTCCTTATATTTCACTGGATTTTATGATCAACAGGTCCAAGTGATCCCACGTTACCTAATACGTGTCGTTTATGTACTAAACTTAAATGGCACCATGCATGAAAAGACATGTTGGGAGTGTGAATCTCACATTAGAAATGACCTGCAAGTGTTTATAAAGAGTTTCACTACTTCTATATTGTCAATAAATTTTACAATGAAATTTCAACTTCCTTAATCACATATCCGAAACCTAATGAGTTTGATACTAAATTGAGATTCATCCTAGCTTTTTATCAATATGTAAGCTGCTTATTGTAACCATATTTTCGTAAATAAAGAATGACACAACTAGAAAGCCATTGACACGCATGACTAAATTTTATCATCAAACACCATTATCTCAAATTCTTGTTATTTTATCTAACGCGCGACACACGCTATCCCTAAAACCCTGCTATCGTTTCTCGTTCTTGCGCCGTTCGGTAATCTCCCAATCTGGCGGGCGGATCCTTGTCCTTTCTTTTTTCCTACGCTTCGACGTCCAGAAGGTGGCGCAACTGTGGTCTCAAGTCCCCTGGTAATATTTTCAAGCGGATAAGAACTAATCAGGAACTTGTGCCATCTTTTGTGGATGATGTGATGTCGCAGGCTATCCCCGCACGACCCGGGATGTCCTTCAAAGATTTGAATAAACCTCTGAGTCTGAGAGCTTGTATGATCCTTCAAAAATGGATGATAATACATATTTATATACGTTTGTCCGAAATGAAACTCATTTTATTCATGCTTTGTTGCCACATATTTTGACATGAATACTCAAATATATATATATATATATATATATATATCTAAAGGAAAACTTACAAGACAAACATGTTTCTTAGAGAACAAGGAAGAACGATTGAGGCAATTGCTCATGTTGTTATTTGATTGTGTAAGTCTCATTCATAACTAATTGAAATTCATCCTCTATCTTTAATTTGGATAAGATTTTGAAATTAAACCTTTTTTTTTTTTTTGAAATATCTTAAATCTAGCCAGTTATTCAACTTCAAAATGTTCCTTTCTATTTGTTATCTCTGTAAATCACGTGACATTCTAAAAAAATATGACTCGAGCCAATAAATACAAAAATATAAACTCATGCCAACACTCGCAACCAGTGACGGATATACACTAGGACCAAGGTGGTCTCAGGACCAACCGAAGTCCGAAAAATGTACATTTGAAGGTCTTATGAAATGTTTGGTACAAGTCTTTTTTGTGTCCACCAAGTATTTGATGTAATGACTACTGTGCTAGGTTGCTTTGAGAGCGCTCGACAAATTTTTTCCGCACTCATCAAATTGCTTCCACGTACGTCGATATTTGTTGATATGCGCGCAACCAGGTTCAACTGACGACAATAAGTACACAAAGTGTTTGATGAAATGTCTCAATGAATAAATTAAATTTTATTTGTACGCTTTGCACCATGTTTCTATTTAAAAAACTTATACCTTTAACACTAAACCTTTCAATGTTCAAATCCTAAATGTGCTACTCGCAACACCATTTTCAGAATGACCAGAAGGAGGAAGCGCGAGTAGATTGAAGATAAGAGGTGAGGGGATTGGGAATGAAATGCATGAAGAGGTTGGACCAATGGTTTTGACCGAATAGCAACATATAAGATGTTGCATATAAATATTATAGACCAGGAAATTATATCCAAGCTGTCACGCTTAAAGCTTAAGCGCGTTCCTCATCTCTTATATTTAGACTTTAGGGGGGTGGGGAACAGAAACAACATTACTAGAATCTCTGACTCAGCCTTCCACATTGACGTTTGTCAAAAACCCTTCTGTTCTGCATATTATCTCTCTCTTTTTCCCTTTTTTTTTTTTTTTTTTTTTTTTTAAGCGTATAATTAATATTTATTTAGTAGTACTAAATTAATAATATCATGATGAGTGTGACAGAATGTTATTGTAATGCTTCAAGCTCTGTTGGACTACTGACTTGATTTTTCAATCCCTTCGTGCAAGCAAGATTCAAATAATCTACGTCATCTTGTGTGTAGCTTTTACACGGTTTTTACCTTTGATTAATACGTGCTCATAAATTTAATATCTTTGATTGTGTTGTTATAAACTTAACACGTCAATCAATGATAGGAATTAAAGAGCGGCAGCACACAAAATGAATGTAGAAGATTTGAACTCTGCAACAAAACGTTAAGAGCTTCCTAAGTTTGACAAGTGGTACTTACTCATTTGTTACAAGTTTATTGCAGGCCTTTCCATTTTTCAGATGATAAATAATAAATCAGTTTTGTTAAGGTAGAAGCTAATAATACAAGCAGCAAAAACATTGTACGGTTGTTCTATATATGAATAAGTTTCCAGCTATATAGAATGTTGGCCGCTCTCTCAATAATTTCAGACTTTGGAAAAACAGATACACATATTTTACAGTTGTGGAGATTAAAATAATTTCAAAAATCGCGAAGACGATACGTGGGTCTTTTTCCGAAGAGACAAGAATGCACTTTTTAAATGGGCAGAGCCCTCAAATATTCTCACATGCAGTTCAACATCCCTGGAGATTCAAGCAAGTATGACAACATTTGCTCATGGTAGGAAATGGTCAAATGTATTAAAGATAGAATTAATCACCAAATCTTATTTTTAATACAATCCTAATTAAATATCAATTCAAACAAGGAATTTTCATAACAATCAATCAAGATGCTACCATCATCATCCCAAGATACTATCTTCTAATTAATATCATGGGATTATTCTTTCCTCATCAATCCTGATGACTCACTTTGATCAATGAGAAGTTACCACATGTAGAGAAAAACCCTACACTTAAGCCGACCACCTCTCTGTAAATACCTCATCTTCATCAAATACTTGTAAGCGTGACTTTTCTTCTGCTTTGTTTCGTGAGGGTGTGGAACTTGGTCAAAGTCAAAGCTTCAAAGGAAGGGCCACTTCTTTATGACTATCCTATTAGAATTGAGGAAGGGTTAACGGGTTTAAATGAAAAATTCGAAATTGAAATTAGGATGAAATTCAGGTTAAATGCGGAGAGGGTGGACCGACTCCCTCTTTGATTCCACCTGCACCAACACCTCATTTAGGATTTGCTGAAATTAAAGGTATGCTTGCTTATAAAGAATTAAGATACTTTTTATATTTCACTTGATTTTATGATCAACGGGTTCAAGTGATCTCACGTTGCCTAATACGTGTTGTTTATATACTAAATTTAAATGACACCACACATGAAAAGGTATGTTGAGAGTGTGAATCTCACATTGGACCTACAACTGCTTACACTATCATAGCATAAACCGACAGAACAATATACTTAAATAGACATCCAAGCAAGCACAAAGATGATCTTACAAAGATCATTCACAAATCATAGAATAAAAGCAACTGCAAAAATATTAAAACCCACAGACCACTCCACGCAAACTACTGTCCAAGTTTCACGGCAGTAAAAATCATGATGACAGGCTATTATTTCTCACTACATAGGCCTTGATCAGAGACGCTCACTCGGCATCCAGTTAGCACGTCCCTTATTAGACTCAATTCAGCGACAACATTGCTCATGTCTTTTCGCTCCCTCGGAATTGCTACAGAACAAGCCACTCCCACTCTTGCAATCGAAGTCAAGCACTCCACAACCCTTTTTCTTTGATCATTTGGGGCATGATTCCCCCTATTACTTCTGGGATTAGTACTGCTGTTGCTTTCTTTTATTTCAACAAGTAGTGGATCACATATTTCTTCCACACGTCCTGGTAGAGCCATCGAAACAAAATTGTGCAGATTCATACCATCTTTAAACATTTCATCTGTCGGCCTCTTACTAGTTAACATCTCCAACAACAATATTCCGTAGCTATACACATCGCCATATGTTGCCACCTCGCTTCCCATTCCATACTCTTAAGTTATATGCACAAAAACATAGCATTGTTCTTATGTGTGGCATGAAAAAACTCATGCTATATATATATATATATATATATATATGTTTATATATGTAAAAGAAAATTTACCTGGGGGAGTATAGCCTATGGAGCCTTTTATGACACTGGAACTGCTTTCGTGCAAAGGAGATGGGCAAGAAGCATCCCGGAAGTACCTTGCTAAACCGAAATCACCAACACAAGCAGTCATGTCACTGTCTAACAAAATATTGTTGGGCTTTATATCACAATGAACTATTGGCATGTGGGAGTGGTTGTGCAAATAATCCAGAGCACATGCTACATCGATGGCAATGTTAACTCTTTGAGTGAGATTCAGATTCTTCGGCAGATTGGCTAGCCTATCTACTCCTTGAGCTGATATATGCAGCCACTCATCTAGG